GTGTGTGTGTGTGTGTGTGTGTGTGTGTGTGTAGAACGCACGCTGTTACCAAATGCCTAAAATGGTAAACAAGCCAAAGGAGGTTAAAAACCGTTCTTTCGGACAGGGAAGAGTTGAGAGCACCCAAGCATTTTCAGGTGGGTATCGCTGTACATCTAGTCGATGTCTTTGCTGACAAGCAAGGAGAACCTGGGAAGATCGTCTCCTCCTGCTTCAGAATCTGACCGAGATGGGTGGTGGGAATGCTCAAAAAAAGAGCTAAAGAGGTCGGGATGAGAAGGGGAAAGTCTGGGGCGGGCAGTTTAAAAGGTACACCGATGGGAGTAAGTGGCTGGTGGGACTAGTTAATGAAGCCTAATCTTTGGGTAGAAAGAGAGGCTCTGTCTTGGGGTGATATGCCAGGATTTGGGACGAAAAAAAACAAAAGCCAGGAGCTGGATTCGCAGCTGCTGGTCTGTTCTTTATCGACCCTAAACTGTGCGAGGCAGCTTGGGTAGCAGGGACGGAAGCACCGTCCACCCCCGCACAGACCCACGTGCGGCCGCAACACTGCGCAGTTTTCGCGAGCAGCTGGCAGGCAAGCGGTCGCTCCCCACCCACTGCGTCCTCGGCCCAGACACCGCGAAGGAGTAGCGGTGTTGGCACTTGGGAAGGGGCGGGTAGGAAGGGCGGCACCATTACTCAGACTCTCATCTAGGAGCAGCCAATCTCGCAGCTCACGCCCCCCCCACCCCACTAGCGTGGAAACCTAGCTGTAATCCCCCGCCTCCCCATCTCTGACTGTGAGGGGCGCTCCGGGTGGGGGAGTGGGTAAATAATTGGCCCGAGGCCCGGCTTCCAGGTTCTCCTTCCACTTTCTGGCGGCCTGACTGCGCCCTGGCCGACGCAGCCCCTCGGGAACCTGAGACCAGGTAATGTGGCCCCCGCCCGGTCCCGGGTCTAGCGGAATCACCGCGGACGTTGGTCTACTAGGGTTTGGGTCTGGGTTTTCTCTGGGAAGGTTAATCACCACCCCCACCCGCAAGCTAGAGCCGAGGTGGAAGAGATGACCCCCAACCCTCTCCCTGACCTGGCCACCAACACCGACCTAAAACGGAGAACACTGCCCAAAGTGCTGGGTTGCGGACACCTAGCCCGGGTGCCCAGAGATTGAAGGCAGGACGCGGAGGGGAAGGCTAGGATACGGTGGGTGAACAATCAGTGGCTTAGCCCAGTTTCTCGCAGGAGCTACCGCCCATTCACCGTCTATGCAGGGACCAGCTGGCGGCAGCATCTTTTAGGTACAAGCTGCAGGAAGGCAAAGGCTGGCTGGGGTGGGGGGGCTGGGCGGGAGCCCAGGGCGCACTACGGGACTCCAACCTGCCCCTCCCATCCCTCCCCCCCGCCGCCGCCACAGCGCCCAAGCCTCAAGATGCTCTTGGCTTTATGAGGTTCAGTTACCGCCGAGTCCTCCATTAACACCTCCTCTGATTATTGAGAAGCTGGAAAGGCTGAACGCAGCCTCAGAGCGTGTCTCCGGGCACCAGCCCGCGTCTGTGCCCTCTGCCCACCCTTTCCTCCTCCCCCTTCCGATTTGGAAGCATAAACAGAAAATAAAAGACAGGTGGAGAGAGCTGAGGGTCAGAGGTGAGGAATTCAGATCAATGAGAGCGAGAGAGAGAGGGAATTAATTTTCATCCAACAATTTATTTATTTATTTGGATTAACAGAGGGACCGTCGGCGAGACGCGGAAAGTGGCCCGCACCTCCGGCCGCCGCCTACAGTCCTTCCTTGCTGAGAACCGATTTCTTGAGGGAAAACATTTGACATCTGGAACTAAAGGTAAGATCTCTATGGCTCTATTGACTTGCCTAGTCGCAGCAGTTTTCTGCCCTCAGGACGTCGGGGAACCCTGGGGGCATCTGGGAAGCCTACCCCGGGAAGCTCCGGCTTTGCTCCAAGCCGAGTCCTTACCTGAGGTCTCTGCCTAAGGAGCGGTCCCCACGCGCCACACCGGGTGGGAGGAGGTGCTGGGGACCCCGAGCTGATGTGCGGCTTTTTTCTGCCAGTGCACCCACCATTACGGCGTGATCAACTCCTTTTGCTCTGAGAATGCTGAACGGTACCACTCTAGAGGCAGGTGAGTTACACACCAGGTTCCTCTTCATTCTCTTTGCCCGCGGGCCAGCGTGCATATCATGTGAGGCTGTGTGTGTGCTTGTGTGTGCGTACGCAAGTGCGCGCCTTCACTGGGTGGAACTAAGGGGGGGGGGTGTTTGTCTTAAAAACATTCGTAGGCTAGAAAATACACAGTCTTGGTTCCGAGTCTGTCTTCTGACTAGCCGGATTTCTGAAACCCGCATTTCCTTCTTTTTGCCTTTCTTTTGAACCTCTTTGACATTCCTCAGGATGCGGGGTCTGGGGCGCCAGGCAGAGGTCACAGTGCCGCTGAGCTTTTAGTAGTCGGTGGCGTAAGGAACACGCTCTCGGATTCTCCGCGGAGCTGCCGGGGGTATCCCTCCTTGGAAGGGATAGAAGGAGTCAGACAAGACATCGTTTCTCACTCGTGTAAGGCTTAACTGGAGACTGGTTTCACGCACATCATTTTTTTGTTCAGTCCTAACCCAGCGCAGCCGTTTCTGCGCCTGATCTCAGCGGACGCAGTGCGGGACTTCTCCCATTATTTCTGGGGGCCTGCGGACCGTGGCAGAGCAATCTCAGGTAAAAGGATTTCAGACTCCAGAAGTGCGGTATTCTAGACTTGGCAGCTGCCCGGTTGGAGATTAATTGAGGGCTATGGAAGACTGAGGTTTTCAGGGAGGCTTTGCAAGCGCGCAGGGTGTGCGTGTGCACAGAGCGTGCAGAACACAGCAGGGCCCTGGCTGGGGGGTCGCGCGTGAGAGGGGCTGGCAAGAGTTCCCAGCTCTCCTTTTCGGACAGTGGTGCTGCCGTTTGTCCTAAGGGAGTCCACCTTCCCAGGACTGAATCAGAAGTGCGCTCTTCCGCAGCGCCAGTTTGGAACCGACAATGAACTCCGTGTTGTGGGAAGGTTCGCACTGCCAAAAAATAATAAAAATAAATGAATAAATACATAAATAAAACTCCTGGCTATTGCTTACCTTCCACCCAACGCAGTCCTGGCATCCGTGGCCAGATCTCTTGGCTCTAAGCCTGGC